GTTTATTCATTGGTTCAATTATTTTTTACCGAAAATGGCTTTCTGTGTTTACACAGAGATCACGTGACTATACACGTCCATACACACACTATCTTGTCGATTTCATATCCAGTGTGAAATAAGCTTTCCATCAATATATAGCTTTGTGTGGTTCAGTAAATATTTTATATGAAAATATCAGTTTAGAAAATCAATACCAAAAACGTGTACAGCATCCTTAATGCATTAAAATTAAATAAATAAACATCAAATCTGCTACAATAAAACTCAGTGAATATTCCTCTTTTAACAGAATCACTTAATTCCATAACATACATGTGCAAATGAGAAAATTAACATAAATTAATAATATTAGATATTTGAATTATTATTTGAATATTAGATGTTTGAATGAAGCTTTGTGGGTACACTTACATTTGATAGAATAAAATAGGCATGAATTAAATGACTAGAAAGTCAATAGACAAGCGTTGGAATCAAGGTTAACAATTACCTTGTTGAAAACCCATATTTCACCATTGCTAGTGGGTTTGGGTACACCATGGCCATTGTAATGGAATAAAACTCTCTCTTCTTTGGCATTTCTCCTCAGCGAGGTACATAACTTTTTCACTTCTTCCACGGTTGGATCAAGACTTTGCTTATACCTAGCCTGAGGGTGAAACATGTTTGTTTTTTTAATTTGATACATTTTATCAAGATTGAAATGAAGCTCATTCCAATGAAAATATTGTCACCAGGCAATTATAGGCCCTTCTGTTAATTCACAAAATTAGCAAAATTCACTAAAATGGCATGTAGCTAAGAGGGGTTTGCCTAAAGAGAATTTTGTGTGAACCCCTGCCTAGCCACTACTTACTCTAGGTTGCCATCTTTCGTATTGTTTCTGCAAATTACCACCAATTGCTTCCAGCGCTTTTTGTGGACTCAATGCCAGGGGATCTGTAAACAGTCATAATCAAGTATAAAATGACACAAATCACAAAACCAATGTGTTTTCATGCAATTTTGCCTTAATAAAGAAAAAGAGGTTGTCAAAATATTTGTTTTGCTACACAACAGTTCCCTACATTGAATGTGTCCTTTTCAACCTTTTTGATAAGCAAATTATTAGTGCTGATGACACATACATAGCACATTTCGACATAAAACCACATTCCTTATTAGAAATCACACGACAGGACTGCGTCTTTCTATCATATGGCAGTGTTCTCCCCAGACTCTAAGCCAATTATCGCGGCTAATTTACATAACAATACATCTTATTTGCATAATTTTGTTTGTATAATAATTAGTTTCCCCAACAAACATTATAACTGAAATAAAGAAGAGATACATATCTCATATATTTTTTATCATTTACATTCATTGTGTTTATGTGTGCATCAAGTCAAATAAAGTTTGAAATAGAACAGGAAAGAAATGGAAATACTTATTATTTATTTGATATTTGTTTGTTAAATTTGTAAAATCTGTATGAAGAAATTAATAAATCAATAGTGACATTTTACTAAAAACTAAAGTCAGCGATTTTTCATTGATCTATCTATTATTTGTGTAACGCTACGATCACTGTAACATTGTCAGCTGACGGCATTGCGTTGAACGGGTATTCACCGCTGCTGTTGCGATCATCGGTTCCTGACTTTTTGTTTAAAAATACACAAACTTAGAATGTTTGCTTAATTAAAACGATTCATTGATGATTAACTTAGAAATTACATCAAAATCGCCAACGAAATGTTGTTTTTAAACATCGCGGAAAAACATGCACTCTGCGCAGCCATCTTTGTTACCTCAATCAAAATCTCCGTTGTAACCCAGCATGCATCGGTTGTGATGTCACTACATGCATTACGTCGCCTTAGGGTGGCGTTCCTCGGTAATGACGCACTATGAATGAGGTATTTCTAGAGGTCAGGGTTCGTTTTTTCCTCGTCCGTCTCGTCTGCAGTTGAATAATTTTTACTTTGATTTATTTACAGTTTTTTTTTTTCCGA